CTGCCGAGTCCTGAAACTTCTGTTGTTTTTATACCTACCTCTCGCCCATTACTTTTAATGCCCACCTTTAATATTATAATGAGGAAAATAGCACGTACGAATCTTCTCGGTGTTTTAGAATCCTTCCTTAAGACAGAGATGAGTTTGAGAAGCAGGTAATCATCTCGGGACCTCACTGACCCCACCAAAATTGCTTTTTCTCTGGTTCAGTGTTTGGCAGAAAAGGCCCTGGCTTCTAAGAGATTACCAAATTGCACGGCACTGCCAGGTTCAGTCCTAACTGCTACTGTGTATCGCCAAGACTGGGGAGACACTTAAGCTATTCTTACTCAATTTGGACAATTTCTATCAATTCACCTGGAATTGCTACCAATCAGAGCGTACGGCATTTCTAGCATGCCCACTGCCCTTCCCGGTGATCTCCCCAGTGGACTGAGTGTGTTCCGGACAGGAATTCCAGCCATCTGGTTTCCACTAGCACACAGCACTGGAGCTGCACCAGGAGGACATTTGATAAAAGCATGTTGAGGAACAAGGAACAGGGCTCCAAGGAGAAAGTACCTGGCGTGAAAGAGGAAGGACCTCAGCTTGATGCTCACAGTCCATGTAAAGCTGGACACGGTGGCGTAACTGTAATCCTAGCACTCCTGTGGAGGGATGCCCGCTAGATAAGAGAGCACCCCTCAGGTCACCAGACAGCTGGCCCAGCATACACAGTAGTGAACAACGTCTCAAATCCTGTCCCAAACACGGTGGAGGGTGAGGACCAATTCTGAGACTGTCCTCTGGCCATCGTACACACACTGTGGCACACATGTGCCTGCACTCACACACACGCACACAGACACACTCCACAAGTATGCTGAGGACCGGAACGGGGCTGAGCATGTTGGGAGTGCGTCAGATACACTGCCTCCAGGCCTTGGTATGCACTTTTCCACAGGAGTTTTTGTTCAGAGGTGGTGCCATTTATCCTGGAAGGGCCTTTGTTAGGGTTCATGGGGTTATCAAACCTGAGGGGCACATGCTGTTGTAGGCTCTGTAGCTAGGAGAGCCGAGGGCTTGGACTGGACCTGCTCTGAGCCGAAACGGAGTCCGATTTTACTAGGTTCTGTCCTTCCTTCTCTCCTCCCTCCTTCTCTTCCTTTCTTCTTTGGAAGGGAGGAAGTAGGGAGTGAGTGATAGGAGCTCTGCAGACAGCAACAAGGGGTGTCACACACACCTGTGCACTGTGTTCCACAAACAAGTGCACCTCTCGACAGCCAGCCTTAGTGACTGAATGATGGGGGCTTGCTGATGCCCTTCCCAAAGGTCCCGATTCTTCATCCCTGACCTAGGACTCTGCATCTCTCTCTATCCAGCAGCCCCAAGTGAGTGAGAGGCCAACAGGCTCAGGGGTGCCCGTGGGGAATTCCCCAGAAGTCAGTGAGAGCTCAGGACCAGCTCAGACGCAGGGATGGAAGTCTGGCACTCACACTCGCAGGTCATGGAGCCTGACTTTCCTCAGCTGTAAAACCGGCATCAACCCCAGGAGATGCTACAGACCCTGGGGTTATGCAGTGAGAGTTCAGCACACACTCCAGGAGTCAGTCCACCAGAGAAGGACTTAGCAAGGTGCTGAGGAATATTGTCACCAGAGACGCATATGTCAACCTTCTCTGCAAGACAATAAGGAATGCTGCCTTCTGAATGTGTGATCTGTCCTCATTGTGTGAAGAGCTCTTGCCCTCACATTACAGCACTGTAGCGCTGTGGGTATTCTTCCCAGGGCGCTACAGTGTATTAATTGCTTACTGGACACATAGTCTGTGGAAGGTCTGGAAGATGACTTTTTAGTTAGTTACATGGTTTCCAGGTATGGAATATACACTGGGACATGCTTCTAACTGGATCTATTTGTTCCACAAGGACTGTAGACTCTTAGCAGCCTGCTGTGTTCTTTTGCTCAGGCTGCTGTGCACAATTAGCTCACTTTCACCTCAGAGCAAGTTCAAACTAAACTATAGGCTTTTTTGCAAAAAGAAAACTTTATAGCTCACACAAGTTCAGAGGCACAGATGTCTACCAAGGGTGCTAAGAAAAGCATGCTAATACTTCACTTGCCAGTCCAATAACAATAGGTCTGTGTCCTAAAGTTATCAATGGGCACTGTGCCCTCCCTGTCTGGTCACTATTTTGATCCTATGATCTTGGACCCTTGTGTTGCCATGGTAAACAGCTCCTTATCACTTCCCCTGGGATGTGCTTTTCACCAGCGAGAGAAACTTCATCACTTCAAGGCTCCCGACGGAGAAGAGTTTTTAGAATAGAAGAAGCATGGAGAAGTTAGAAGCAGGACAGGATTCTTAGAACAGAAACAGAACAATAAAGGGCATATGAAATAAAGTGCATGATCCTCAGATTGTGTATGAAGTCACTATACAAATCTTTTACCCCCTCCTTCGCTCCTTTGGGATCCTGGTAGGGGCTGGAGCAAGTCTCTTAGCCCTTACAAGGGGAGAGGTGACTGATGCGCCTAGGCTTTATATATATATATATATATATATATATATATATATATATATATGTGTGTGTGTGTGTGTGTGTGTGTGTGTGTGTGTGTGTGTGTGTGTGTGAATACATACCATGTCTGTGTTTCTAGGTCTGGGTTACCTCACTTAGCATGACTTCCTTCTAGTTCCATCCATTTGCCTTCAAATTTCCTGGTGTCCTTGTTTTCTACAGCTGAGTAATACTCTACTGTATAATTGTACCACATTTTCTCTATCCATTTCTCAGTTGAGGAACATCTAGGTTGTTTCCAGGTTCTGACTATCACAAATACAACTGCTATGAGAGACTACTGGAAGTGGGGAGGGCATTTTAGGTCAGGGAAAAACCTGGCACAGGGGAATCTCCCAGGAATCTACAAGGATGACCCCAGATAAGACTCCCAGCAATAACAGACACATAGCCTGAACTGGCCATCTCCTGTGACCAGATTGGTGTCAAGCCCAATAGTCATCAGAGGAGTGTCTTTCAGCAACTGATGGAAACAGATGCAGACCCACTGTTGTGATAAAGTGTCATATTCCATTGTGGGCGAGGTTGACTGAGGCGGAGGGACAAACATGCCAGACAGACAGAGCTTAAGTGAGAAGTTTTATTAGAAAGGGGAAGGAAGGGGAAAGGAAAGAGAAAAGAGACAGAGACACAGAAACAGAGAGAGAGGACAGAAGAAAAGAGGGAGACAGGAAAAGTCCTGCCTGCCCCAGGGGAACAGTGGGAAAGAGAGGAGCAGGGGTCTTTCTTTTAAAGGGGTCCTCTCTACCTGCATACACACTATGAAACCATGGAACCCTGGACTGATCAGGGTACTGCCAGGTGACGGGGCAGGCCAGCATAATGCCTGAGTCCTTATACCCACAACCAAACATTAGGCATAGTTTGGGTAATCCTGCAGAAGAGGAGGAGAAAGGAGTGTAGGAGCCAGAAGGGTCATGGGCACCAGAAGGAAACCTACAGAATCAACTAACCTGGGCTCATAGGGGTTCCCAGAGATGGAACCGACAACCAGGGAGCCTGCATGGGGCTGACCAAGGCCCTCCACATGTACATTATAGTTGTGTAGCTTGGTCCTCCTGTGGGACTCCTAACACTGGGAACAGAGACTGTCTCTGACTCTTTTACAGACTTTTTGAACTCTGCTACTCACACTGGGTCACCTGGCCCAGCCTTAATACATGGGGAGGGGCTTAGTCTTCCTGTAACTTGACATGCTATGTTTTGTTGATAGTTATGGGAGACCTGTCCTTTCCTAAAACAGAAGTGGGAAAGGAGTGGATTGGGGGTAGGAGCAGAGGGGGATGGTGGGGAGGGACTGGGAGGAGAGTAGAGACAGGAAACTGCAGCCAGGATGTAAAATTAAATACATAAATAAGTTTATTTAAAAAAAAGAAAGCAAGAAAGAAACACAGATCCTAATGGTACCTGTTTCTTGGATGTTCAAACTAAGACCAGCTGTGCAGTGAACAGTGAAGGCCTTTTAAGTATTGTCCAACTTCCTGAAAAAGTCAGGCCTCTCACACACTAACCACCTCCCAACTGTCTTCAAATAGGCCAAGCGCCTTCCTGCCTCAGGCCCTTTGCACCGGCTGTGGCCTCTGCAAAAAGCATTCTGTCTGCCCTTTGGAGGCTTTCTCATTTACATCTCAGGTCAAGCACCACTAGTAACCCCCACCCCCACCAGGAGGCCTAAATCCTTCCCCACTCGTCCCTTCTCCGACCTAGCAGCCTCTGAGGTGGTCTTATTTGCTGATGTGCTTGAGAAGTATACAGCAAATGGTTGTCTCTCAGTGAACAGGTCTGGGGTGGGGCGACTAAGCAAAACAATAGAAGGTAAACAAGTGAATGAGAACTCTTGCTGATTTCTGTAGTAATAAGAGCCTAAGAATCTGCATTCAGAAGAACCCCCTGCTTCTGGTTAACAAGGGCAGAGACCACAAGACCGAGCACTGTGCTTGGTAACACCTTAACAACCACCCAGAAGTTCTCTCTATACGCATTACTGGGCAAGGCTCCAAAGCTAAAAGGCACTAATTGCTTTTATATAAGGAGATAGGAACGCGGTCCCTCTGTGTCCCTTAGTCCCGATGGTCTGCATTATCGGATCTGTTACCATGTTAATTGATGTCTCACACAGACAGTTCAGGCTTCACTCTGAATATGTCTGGGACAATGACAGGCAGAGAAGAGAGGTGGTAATTGGGAAGTCTCTCTCTCTCTCTCTCCAAGTGTGTGTGTGTGTGTGTGTGTGTGTGTGTGTGTGTGTGTGTGTGTGTGTCTGTGTGTCTGTGTGTCTGTGTATGTGTAGACATGGCCCCACTCTGGGAAGGGTTAATATGCAGCCAAGCTGCCTGTGCTCAGGGCCTCAGACCGGCCCAGGAATGGGAGGGGTGGGCCTGGAAGGTGGAGCAGGCTTGACTTGCACAGGCTGCCTTGTCCCCACAGGAGTGCAAGTGCTTGCCCAGCTGGTCTGAGAATGGGGAACTCAAGTTGCCTTTAGGAATGGCTACAAAGCCCACACCTGGAAATCCCCCCTCCCTGCCCCTCCACGGCAGGTTGCATTTGGGAGACTCTCCGGTCATTAGAGGAACGAGCCAGGAGTGAGCCATTCACCAGCTCGCCAGCACTCGGTAGAGAGCAGCAGGATGGACGTGGTCGACAGCCTTCTCATGAATGGGAGCAACATTACTCCCTCCTGTGAACTCGGCCTGGAAAATGAGACTCTTTTCTGCCTGGATCAACCTCAACCTTCAAAAGGTAGGTGTTAGAGGCTGTGACTGGAGTTCAGAAAACAACCCCAGTTAAGGGAGATGATAGCAACAGTAAGGCTGACTAAAAACGTATATACAGTGTGTGTGTGTGTGTGTGTGTGTGTGTGTGTGTGTGTGTGTGTGTGTGTGTGTATATACACGGGCAAAATCCCTGTGAGACAAATCTAGATGAAGTTGTATGTTCAGAAGTTTGGATAAAAGAGTAGGAGAAATCTACAGTCAAATATTCTTATTGTTCCCATGGGAGAGTTGGGAACTCACGCAGGATTCGGGGGAGATGACAAAAGCATAGAAGACTGCATTACAGAAAAGGCACTGTCAGGAGCAGAGGGTGCCTTTTCTTAGGAGAAACCCAGCATGAAGAAGTGATTAAAGCAGAATAACGCTTAGCCTCAGGGAAAGAAAGTCGTCACCATTCAGGAGTGCTGTCCTTAGGAAAAACTGCTTTCCCGAGTGATCTGTCGACACACACCAACCTTTAAAAAAACAATTGAATTGCCCTGTGCTTTCCTGGGCTTGTGTCTGTGCGATGCAGTCGGTACAGGGATACTCGGGTTCAGTGATGCAAGCCAGCAAGGGACATCATCAGAAGTGAGCACTCCTTGGGGGGCTGAGGTTTTCACATTCCACCCTCCTGACCCGCGTCCCTCCAACTCTTCCCCATTTCTCCTCAGAGTGGCAGCCTGCGGTGCAGATTCTCCTCTACTCCCTCATATTCCTCCTCAGTGTGCTGGGGAACACGCTGGTCATCACGGTGCTGATTCGAAACAAGAGGATGCGGACTGTCACCAACATCTTTCTGCTGTCCCTGGCTGTCAGTGACCTCATGCTCTGTCTCTTCTGCATGCCGTTCAACCTCATCCCCAACCTGCTCAAGGACTTCATCTTTGGAAGTGCCGTGTGCAAGATCACCACCTACTTCATGGGTGAGTCGCTGCAGGTGGCTGTTGACACTTGGCCAGTCACAGCAGAGGGACCCTACTGGGTTCCCAAATACCAAGCATCTGGCTGGCTGCGCCTATGTACAAGGATGCGGGTGCTCTCTTTACAGCAAGTCAGCCCTCCTACTTGCTAGGGAGTGTGTGTCAGAAGTTGATACAAAAACACAATGGGAACTTGGTAGACTTGGCTCTTTGAATAAGGACAAGAACTCATAGGTGACTTCAAGTCACTCCATACCTTTCAGTCAGCAAATCATTGCACGCCAATTAACTCCCAACTTAGGTCAGAGTTTCTTGGAATGGAGTAGCTGCATAGGATCAGGGCTGTTTGCTGGTGTGTCTCTTGTTGTGTGACGAATGGAGGCTATTTAAAACCCTTCCATCTCTGTCTAGCTACTCCTTTCAGGATTCACTTCCCAGACTGCTCTCTCAAAGCCTGGGGGCATCTTAGGCCAGGGAGGGCTCTGCAGGGTGTGTGTGTGTGTGTGTGTGTGTGTGTGTGTGTGTGTCCCTAATAAGAAGCTGAATATGTTCCTCAGGAGCATGGATTATGAAGTAGACCCTGACTGGATGAACTATATAGTTTGCTGCCTATACCAAACATAATGATGGTTGTAGCTAAACCTACAAAGCTACTTTCTTAGTACTTTTTATGTCCCAGGCATTTTGCTGAGCACTTTCATTTCCAGGATCTTATTTCTTGTCCACCTTGTAAATAGCTGTCATCAATTCTTCCCTGTCTCACCAAGCACACATCAGGGGAAGCTTGGGGCCTGGGGTTTGAACCTAGATTAGCAGGCACCACAGTGGTGAGCTCATGCCTCAGCTTGCCAGCTGCTGAGGTTCTCCTAACCCTGGATAGAAACATGTCCCTGGTCCTCTCTGTCTGTCACATTGCCTTGTCCTTCGCCCACTCTGAGAAGCAACTGGGAAGAAGAAGAGGGTGAGGAGTGTGTGTGTGTATGTGTGTGTGTGTGAGTCCCTCTCTCTCTCTCTGTGTGTGTGTGTGTGTGTGTGTGTGTGTGTGTGTGTGTGTGTGTAGGGGATGTTTGATTCTGACCCAAACTGTATTAAACAGAGAGCACTGAAGAGGGCTAGGGAAATCTTCGGAGACCAGAAAGCACTGAAAAGCCTTTCTTTTTCCCGGTTGAGTGTTCAGGATCCAGCAGATGACACAATGATGATGAGTCACTGACTCTCATGCCCCCAGATTAGTAACTAGGATGTCATCTGTGTTCAAGTCCCCTGAACATATTCTAATGCCTTTAAAAAATGGGAAGGATCTTGGTTAGATAATGAAGCATTGCTGAAAGCTCGTTAACTCCTGGAGCCCATCCATGTGCATCTGACGGGCACAGTGTTTTAGCATCTTAGCCAGTGTGGGGAGGAGAGTTACCAGAGGTACTCACATAGTCACACAGCTCTGAAGGCCAGGTAACTGTTTGCTTCAACGTGGTCAAGTCTGTGCTGTGTGAATTTCACCTCAGAATAGTTTTAGTAGCCAAAATTTAACAGCAAACTAATTCCGGGATTATTTGGAATGTTATAACAGCTTACTTGGTTAAATTTACTTTTTTCTTGTTATTTAGAATTGGTTTTAGGTTGGCTTGGAGTCTGGGGGTGGGGAATAGGGTGGGGGTTGAACAGGGTTCAGTATGTAGCCTTGGCTGACCTGGAAACTTAGTGTGTAGTTAGGTTGGTCTTGATCTTGAGGTGATTCTCTGGCATCTGCCTCCCAAGTGGTATAATTTCAGGCATGCTCCCACCAAGTCCAAGGTTTCGTTGAATTTCTAATTCTGGTGATTTAGATCTTACGGTCTATTTTGTGATGTCTTCGACAACACTGTTAACAACAGCCATCAAACACCTCATTTGTGTGTGTGTGGAGGGAGGTTGATTGTCTGACCGTGGGTTTGTAGTGACTGTGGACCCATTGTACAGAGCAAACTCAATGGGATTTAGAGCTATTCTTTCAATTCTGCCTGTCACAGATTCTTCACAGAGAAGTCCAGTAGAACACGGTGAGTGAATCGCACGCCAAAAAAAAAATGCTTTTAATTAAAGGCTTTAGAAAAAAAATATACATGTGGTTTTTAGAGAGCTACTATCTACCTACAGTGGTAAGTGATGTTTTAGGATGTTGGTAATAATAGCTAATAGGTGACAGTTCTCATGGCTGAAGGCTCTGACGTGTTGGAACTTAAAGGCTAAGACATTACAATAAGCATATACAGCCGGGAGGAGTGAGGACTCCTTTGCCCTGTGTGCAGGTGACTGCTCTAGAGGAGATGTGACTCATGTCCCCGCTCTAAGCGGGTTACACGCCCACTTTATACAGCAGAGACGGTGAAAAGACCCTGCTCCTCCCACTCACCGAAAACGCTAGTCCATCCTAGAGCCTCTTCTCTGCCACCTTTCCTTACTACGTATGCTTTCAACAGATAGTTTAAATTTTAGAATGTTTCTCTCTTTTAAATTGTGTACTAGAAATTTTAACACCCCAGTGACCTTTTGGCAGTATGGAGTCCTTGACAATTTTTGCCTTTTTATGTCTATTTAACCACATGCTCATGATCAAAATTAGAGCTCTTCTCTGGGTTTCCAGAAAGCCCTTCTGTGGGATGGCAATTTATTTTTATTCCCTTGTTTATTAATTAATGAGTACCTCCAGCCCAGGCTGGGGTTAGATTGCAGTCATAGCTCAATAAACTTATCAGAAAATTGGCAAATACATATGCTTAACTGCCTTAAGTCCTTTTCGGTACAAAGCTGGCTCTAAAAGATCTTTTAAAAATATACATAGTATTTCCTTACCCCTAGAGCATTCTCCTATGATACTGAACTGCAGCTCTGATACACTTCAGCTAACGTGCAAACTTTGGAGTCAACACCCGAGTAACTGCCCTTTCTTTGTTCCTTTCCAGGAACATCCGTGAGTGTTTCCACCTTCAACCTGGTAGCCATCTCTCTGGAGAGATATGGCGCCATCTGCAGACCCTTACAGTCCCGAGTCTGGCAAACAAAGTCCCATGCTTTGAAGGTCATTGCTGCCACCTGGTGCCTCTCCTTCACCATCATGACTCCGTACCCCATTTACAGCAACTTGGTGCCTTTTACTAAACATAACAACCAGACGGCAAATATGTGCCGCTTCCTGTTGCCAAGCGATGCGATGCAGCAATCCTGGTAAGGAAGCGCTCTGCTCAGCCTGTAAGACACAGCTTTGCCCGGCTGTGGTGGCGCGCGCCTTTAATCCCAGCACCCGAAGGCAGAGACAGGTGGATCTCTGTGTTTGAGGTCAGCCTGGTCTACAGAGCTAGTTCCAGGACAGGTTCCAAGCCACACAGAGAAACCCTGTCTAAAAAACAAAAAAACAAAAAACAAAAGTTAGCAATGTGAGGGACAGGAAAGCTGATGACTACAGGGCAGGTGTCCTGGAGGCTTTCTCAGAGGGTCCTTTTCTATTATTATTCTTTGACAGTTTCATACATTTATATAATGAAGTTTAGTTGTCTTCATTCTTCTCTCCCATCCCCCCTCCATCTCTGGTTGAGACCCTTTTCCTCAACAAGTTCTCCTGTACCTTCATGGCTTCTTTTTCTATGTGACCCACAGAGTTAAATTAGGTCTTCTTACAGGTCTGAATAAGACGTTATTTAGTGGAGTACGGACAGCTTACTAGTGGCCACACTGCTGAAGGAAATATCACGTAGGCCAGCAAGTCCCTCAAGCGTGGGGCCTCAGGGTCCCCTCTGAGGAGGGCCATTCTAGCTTGACAGGAAGAGTATACGGTGGGATATCGAGACCCTAAACACACACAGTTATAGATGAAGTGATGTCGGCATGTCCATTTTACAGAAAAGGAAGCTGACTCAGAGGTTCCAGAGTAGCCAAATCCACAAAGCCTCTCTGGGTGTTTAACCACTATGCTTAGGCATCTACGTGGTCCCCAAGGAGTTCAGACTGGTTAACTTACAGAACTAGGATTTTTTCCAAATAATTGACCAGAGACCAGTATCCAAAATCTCATGTAGCCTTTTCTAGTGTTTTAAAAATAGTAATTACTTCGTGTATATGTGCATGTGTGGGGTACATGTGTGCCATGGTACATGTGTGGAGATCAGAGGACAATTTACGGAGTACTTCTAACATGTGGGCTCCAGGGATTAAACACAGGTTATCAAGCTTGGTGGCAAGTGTTTGGGCCAGCTAAGCTATCTTGACACCCCAATTCCTAGTGTTTATAACCACTGTGTTTGCCCAAAATAGCTTACCAGAAGAGACAATGTTCCAATACTGGTTCATTTGCTCACTGACTAAATAGCCTTGGGGAAGTTTACTTAGCCTCTTGATGCACTGGGTTCTTTATCTTTAAAAGAGTTAGATTGTTTTTCTAAATCTGCATTATTAGGGAACTATAAGGTTCAAATAAGAAGCCATAAAAATACCTGTAATGAAAAGACGGTACAGATGTGGCTCGTGTGTACTAACTATAGCGCTGTTTTAGAAGCAGAGTCTAGACATCATTACGTGGTGGCTAAAAATCCGGATCATGCTCCCTTACCCTCTTCCTTTCATGTCGTCACGTAGCTTGCACACAAAGCAGCATGACACTGCAAAAGAGAAGGATATACAAGACTTATCAAAACATGTCCAATTGCAATGAGAAATGGCCCAGCCACTGCTTGCCTCTGACAATCGTGAGGTCTTATCTGCAGCTTACACATGCCAGACCGCAAAAGTGATTTAGGGGCCAGACTCATGGAGCAGGAGGCTGTGAATCCTCAACAACTAACTATGTTTAGAGAAAGCATAGCTCAGTCCTTCCAGGCATACGGCTTAGTGCACCACCAAACCAGCTTCGAAGCACAACGGAGAATGGATACCTAGAGAGATTTACGGAAGGCAAATGACACATTTGGTAAAACTAAAAGATTTTCCATAATTCTGACCTAAACTTTTTTTGGGGGGGTTGAGACAGGGTTTCTCTGTGGCTTTGGAGGCTGTCCTGGAACTAGCTCTCGAACTCACAGAGATCTGCTTGCCTCTGCCTCCCAAGTGCTGGGATTAAAGGCGTGTGCCACCAGTGCCTGGCCTGACATAAACATTTTAATGTAGAGTCAACAAGTTGTGTAGCCTGGTGTGTGTCATTGGATTCAAATCTCACCTTTGATACTAGCTGTGTGACTTTGGACACATGTAATCTCCTCAAGGCTCAATATCCTAATCTCTACAGTAAGTGCTCAGACAACAGTAGCTACCAAAGGTTCTTATGTGAGTTAAACTGAGACATATATGCAAAGAACTTAGCCTCACCTGTAGAACCCAGCATTAGTCCTCATCAGACGAGAAGTATTTTCATATTTATTATTTCAACACTTTATTTTCATATTTATTATTTTCACATACTCCCATTTTTTAAAGACTTCTTTATTTGTTTATGGTCAATATCATTCATCTTTGTAAAAGGTCTCACTATGTCACCCAGGCTAATCTCAAACTCCAGCACTTGAGCAAGCATCCTGCCTCAGCCTCCTGAGTGTCTGGGGCTGTAAGTATACACGATTTTGCTGTTATACTTTAACATATTCACTGGTTTGGAGCAGAGAATGATGCTGCGTTTTCCCAATTTAAGTAGTCTTTCAGAGTCACTTTAAGGAATATACAAGGTAAACAAGTTCTAATGGCCGGTCCTCCAGACGTGGAATTCCCAAGGATGTTAAATGCTAGAAATTAATGTGTCTGCTCAGACCAGCTCCCCCACCCCATTCTTGCCCATCAGAACTTGAAGGTCCAGAGTCGCTGGTGATTAGATTTCTTTTAATTGTATTAGGCAAACATTCCTGCTACTCATCCTCTTTCTCATCCCGGGGATTGTGATGGTGGTGGCCTATGGGTTGATCTCTCTGGAACTCTACCAAGGAATAAAATTTGATGCTAGCCAGAAGAAATCTGCTAAAGGTAACTATCTTTGGACTGGGTTTTTATTCCAAAAGAGCTCAAAAGTGTGCTTTATAAGTTAACTGGAGGGACTCGGAACACACAGAGCATGTTCTGGAGACTGAAAAGTGTTACAAGGCAGCCAGGGGACCTGGCTTCTCTGATCCCAAGTGTGTAAAATGAGGAGAGATTTCTCCTTGGGGTCCTGAGTGGACTCAATGGAGAGCATGCTCACATGACACAGATGCCCCCAGCTAGCCCTGTCCCCCAGGTTGGCCAGTAGACACCTCTGGTGATTCTGTCCTGCACGTGACATTGAGACATTAGATTCACGGCCTCCAAGGCCGGCTTTTTGCTCCTCGTCTCTCCTCAGTCCTCCCTCCCTTCTAGAGCCCACCTGTCGCCAACACCTGTGTTGACTTAACTTTTTCCTTCTCACCCTGCCTCCTGTCTCAGTTCCTTACTATGTAGATAACACAGTCTCTCTGACTCCTGTTGACTTTCTCTGTTACTTGGAGTCCTCACAATAAAAGTAATAAATCTAAAATAAATAAAATCTAAAAACTCAGCAAGCAAACAGGAAAGAACAGAGAAGAGTGTTAATATTTATTTTGCAATAACTTTCAGCCTTACAATCTTTGTGTATAGGGTTTTATTACAATTGTTACTAATATATGTATATATGATTTATGCTTCATTGGAAGGCTAGAACTGGTGCAGACCAATGCTGATATAAACCAGTACAGGCAAGGCTGCCTGCCCATTTCTCCAGTTCAAGTTCAGCTTGGCCTCCTGGACTGGGGGAGTCAGGGGCCCCGGGTCTTCTCTCTGGCATGACTTGTCCTGAACAATAAAATGATGTCACTTGCCCACCCAGAGAAGAAGCTGAGTGGGGGCAGCGGCAGCCGATACGAGGACAGTGATGGATGCTACTTGCAGAAGTCCAGGCACCCGAGGAAGCTGGAGCTCCAGCAGCTGTCCACCAGCAGCAGTGGCGGCAGAGTCAACCGCATCAGAAGCAGCAGCTCCACCGCCAACCTGATAGCCAAGAAGCGCGTGATCCGCATGCTCATTGTCATTGTGGTCCTCTTCTTCCTGTGCTGGATGCCCATCTTCAGTGCCAACGCCTGGCGGGCATACGACACTGTTTCCGCTGAGAAACACCTCTCGGGGACCCCCATCTCCTTCATCCTCCTCCTCTCCTACACCTCCTCCTGTGTTAACCCCATCATCTACTGCTTCATGAACAAACGGTTTCGCTTGGGCTTCATGGCCACCTTCCCTTGCTGCCCCAATCCTGGCCCCCCAGGGCCGAGAGGAGAGGCGGGAGAGGAGGAGGATGGGAGGACCATAGGGGCATCCCTGTCCAGGTATTCCTACAGCCACATGAACACCTCTGCCCCACCCCCGTGAGCTAGTCTACCTGGCCCACTGCTGCAGCAGGAAGGAAGGGTCCAGGGAGCAAGGAGGAAAAGGAAAGGAAGGAAGAGGAGGCTGGAGTGAAGGGGAAGGAAGACCTGTTTCTCATGGGGACTCTTCAATGTCTGCCGTTTGTCCTTCACAGAGTTCCAGAAGGTGGGGTCACGAAAATGCCAAGGCATTTTCCCACAGTGTTCACCATGGAGGAGACCTCAGCAGGCCAGGCTGGGAGCCCCAAAGGGCTCATACTATAAATGTCACTGCCAAGCCCATGTTCAAAATGGAGGTACAGACCCTAATGAGCTTTAGAGTTTTCTGGAACACCCCAGGTGAGGCCTCCCCATAGTGACACACTGCTACGCTGTTTGTTCTGCTCATGCCGAATTCCGGTCACTACTTTCCTTCCCAGGGAATGCACAGCTACTTCCTATACATCCTGCAACTATACATCTTCTCGCGGCCGCCAAGGATGTGTGACGCACACCTCCTCTGGCCACTTCTGAATAGGAACACTTTTTAATCTTGAGGTTAGTCACGAACACCCAGAGGTGTAAGTTTAGGTCATCATCAGAAAAGCAAAAAGAGTGTATCTAAAAAACAGGTTTTAGACTTTCTACTTCTACAAAAAGTGTGCATGGCCAGTGGTCTGAAGGAATGTTTTCTGTCAGTAACATCAAGCGGCAGACTGGAAGGTGACTTGTGCTGTGTAACTTCTCCTTTGCACCCTAACCCCACAGCATTTTTTAAACCTCAGCTTGATTTCTTCTGTTCACCTGTACTTCCTCTTCTCCAGAAAGACCTCCAGGTATGAAGGGGAGTTGTACATACCTGGGCAGGCAGTAATGGAAACAAGTACAGACAGGCCCCAAAGAAAACTGGCATGCTGGGTCTCGGTTAACATAGCTTTGAACGCCAAACATGTGTATGCTTCTAAATACCATCTATGTAACTCTTGATAATTGGCTCAGTGCGTGCGTGTGTGTGTGTGTGTGTGTGTGTGTGTGTGTGTGTGTGTGTGTGTGATCATATGGCTATATGTATGTTAAAAACTTATCTGTGGATATTGGAATTCAGCAAGTGTTACCATTCTTCCATAAAAGTTGAAGTTTCATGTGAGCTTTGTTTCTTTGCAAAATTCGTGCTGAAAACACTTAACTCTGAGAACTCTCTGTTTAAAAATAGAAATAAATTATACACTGAGACACCAGGAAGAACATTTCTAGATAGCATGTACCAATCCGGTCTAGCAAGACACACACACTCGCCCTCTTTCTCCCACACCTCCTTCCTCCCTGTATCTCCTTTTTCCTCCTTTCTTCTTGAATACTACTGTCTTGTCTGCTTAACGGAGTTAGTGTGGACCTTTTCAACAGACACCAGTTTGTAGGAAAAAAATCAAGGGAAGGTCATTGCTGTGAGCTGCCAATGATCCAACAAGCGAGCCTTCTTCCCTTGCTTAAGGCCACAGCCACGCACTCATTGGCTCCCCACTCTCAACTGTCCCCAAACCTCCCTGTGGAAGAGGAAGGGAAGAGAGATGCTAAGACCTCTCTGACGGTCTAGAGTTAGACAAGCTGAGCATCTTACAGGGACAGTTGTGCCTAATGGAGCTCTCTAAGGAGCAGCAGCTGAACACATAACTGCCCATCACACCCCTCTTGTCAAGCCAGACTAGTCCCTCCTCAGGCTTCCATCTTGTATGAGTATCTATTGCCATCCTCTCAGGTAATAATTTCAGTGTCAAAACGCAGAGTTAAATCGCAATGATATAAGATGCAAGAGATAAAAATGTCTTGGATACCTGAGTAGGTCTTATAGTCCACATACATTTCCTGCCTAAATACTGAGTCATTGTGTCTGACCCTCTGACATTATTAATAAATGAAGAAAAGTTAGGACCCCCACATTATTAGAAACCCCTGGACTTTCTAAAGGTATATTAACCTAAAAACAAGATTCTAGAATTTATTTAATAAAAATACATACATGCAGCTAAAGTGTACTTTTGGATAAACCATAGACCAGTGACCCCAACTATAAAATCATTTTCATTACTACTTCATAACTATTATTTTACTGTAACTCATAATGTAAATATATGTTTTCCAATGGTCTTAGGTGACTTCTGTGAAAGGGTCAGTCAACCCCAAGGGGTCATGAGCCACATGTTGAGAAACACCCTTCATATACTAATTTTTTGTTTTGAGTGCATTTCATACACTAGAAGACATCCTATGTTTTATCTGCCAACCCTACTTTTGAAATACTTTAAAGCGGGCAAAAACATTTCCCACACACAGTAATAAGATGCCTTTGTAGATTTAATTTATTGGACAGTCTCTCACCTATCGGAAGCCGAGAGATGGGTGTAGGGGGCTATTAACTTACTGACGAATTTTTTTCCTCACATAATGCTGCTCTCACTCACACTTTGTTGAGTCAGCTTCCTGGGCCTCGTGTTAAACAGGATTACTGATTTGAACACGAATTCAAGTTAAGGAAACAAATACTTTCCTAGGATTTTAGTGTCTTGTAGCAGCACTCCTTCAGCAGAGGCAGGATATATTGGAGCATTGGAATTGAGAGTTGTGTCTCGGCTTCTGGGTCCCAGGCACCATGGTAAGATCTCCTAACGCCTTGAGGCGGTGAAGAGCAGTGCCTGGATATCTAGGGTTCCTTTGCGCATGTCCCTGTATGCTTAACAGGTGTCTCTCTGTTTAAGCAAAATGTCGTCTTCGTGGGTTAAGTGAAGACAGCTGCTGAATCTCCACTGTATGTTCTTCCTGTGTTTTGCCTAGTAACCCACGTACCGTGAATGTTTAATAAATGTTATGACCAACTTCTGTCTTGCCTCCAATGCTTCCAGTGGTTTCTCTTTCCATCCACAGCTGTGCTCCTCATCAAGAGGAAGCTCCCTCTTGGGGGAGAAGAGCAGAGTTTTGACAAGACCTTTTCCTGTCTGCATGCATCCACCCCAGGCTGTCATGTGTGACCATTTGCTGTGTTCTCGCTCCTCTTTTCCTTACCCTCATGAATTAAGTGGATAGAGAGAGTGGATAGAACCTACAATGTTTCTGATGGGTGATCCTGCCAAGTAACACCATTGAGATACAAATAAACAAAGGCTGGGCACCACTGGTCCCTAGCTTCCCTCAGCTTAGTCCCCCTGGCCCTCATTTCCAACTCTGCTGAAGAACCCAGCTCGCTCCTTCCATCAACACTCCCATCGGATCCCTTGCTATGCCCCCATTCATTTGCTTTCCCGAAGAACCCCAGTGCAACTGCATGGAGGCACCCGGACCCATGCGGCATCTGCTGACTCCCTACCCCTTGCCTCTAAATGTACTACTTCCCTCTCTTGTCATTTAAATCTCCAAACACCATGTGTGAGTCACCATTTCCCACATTTTAACCTAAGGATTTGAGGAATAGAATGGCAGATATCATGTTCAAAACTAGACAGGTGACCAATGACAGATGCAAGGCCCATCCTTATTTTAATTCCATCATAGGCTGGCGAGATGGTTCAGCATGTAAAGGCACTTACTGTTCAGCCTGATGACATGAATTCTATCCCCAGGACACACACTGTGGAAGGCTAAGACTGATTCCCATAAGTTGTCCCCTGACCTCCACAACTGCACACACAAAATAAACACAAAAAATGTATTAATTCTACCAGGCTGCTGTTGATGTTAGATGATGACATTTACCCTTCTAAATAATCTATAGGCAATGACTTCATTTCAGCAATGCTGCCTAGTTTGTAGTACTCATGCTATAATCACCACAAAGGAAGCAAGTCCCTGTTTCTTCATTCTGCTTCTGCCTCCCTATGGACACAAGCTGATTGTTCACACTCCTGTCCTGGGTACACCCAGGCCTATGTTTATTTTTAAGGAGTAAAATACACTCTACCACCCCACATGAAAGCCAAGATATAGTATCCATAAACAAGTTTTCACCTCTTTGGCAAATTATATTAATTTGGCATTATATTAAAGCAGATCTCGGATTCGCTTAGAACCAAGATACACCGAGGCCATGTTTTCCATCAGCTATCAGAGTAAAGCCTCCTGATTTCCCCTTCACTTGCTACCTTTTCGCCAAGCCCCCCTTTCCCAGTGAATGTGGAATGATCGTCAAAGGGAGTGGCGTGAGGGGGGAGGATACCTGGATCACCACAATATCAAACAGATGGGATTTACAGTGGAGAGTTTTGCCACATCCAAAACCACTTCTTCTCCTTATTTTCCCTAATGGCAATGGTGTCCTAAACCCTGGATCCTTAAGCTCAAGATCTGGATCATTTCTGAAAATCAGTTATCAAAAAGAACTCAGACTCTGGAGTAGATTGGATTCGTATCCAGGTCTAACTAACCGTGGGAGTTTTACTCAGCCTCCAAGTCTGCAGTATTTACAGGTTTTGTGAGACTTAAATGACATTAATGAGCCATATCTCCAACTCCCAGGGAGCTACACATTTTGAGTGTTCATTGCCAAGTCTCCAGACACATAAACAACAGTCATTTGCAAGGCAGCATAAAGTAGGTAATGTGAGCCCCAAACTGGTTCCAGTAAATGAACTGTGTGGAGCAGTTCTTGGGGGCTTCTGGGTTTATTGGTCAGTATCTGCTGCATTCTGCTTCAATAACAATACCTTCAAGTCCAGCATTGTGTCATAAGCTATAGAGCTCCAAACATGTTTGAAGAACAAATCTTTTATATACAAAGTATTTAACTAGATTGATGATCTTCACATTTTTATGCAGTTCTGTATGGAGGTCCAAAATGGGAAAGAAATAGCAGTAGAGTTGCCTAGGAGAAGTAATAGTGCTTTACCTTCCCTTGAAATCCTGGGGTGGGGTGGGGACCCTGGATTCTATAGGACATATTTTGAAGGTCACTAATGCAGAGCTATTTGGGGCTCATAATCTGTGACTCTAAGGCCTGCAATACCTACCAGCCTTTGTCAGGAGCAGCCAGTGGCTTCAATTAAGCTTTGCCACATAAGTTCAGGACCTTAATTTCCAGATACGCCCTACCCTTGATCCTGATGATAGAGAAGACCATCTTCCTTTAGAGTCTAATGTTTAGACTCTCAATGCATCATCCCAGCGCTGCTGGCATCGTAACAAGACTTTACCTGCATAGTTTCCTAAAAGAGAGAGACAGATGTTGGTCCGGGGCTTGCTGAATTGTTCAATGCAGTTGCTTGAATGATGTCCTGACATCAGGAAAATGCCAAAGAGTCCCCACAAGCCAGCCGGGCTGCAGTTTCCTAGTTTTCATGAGTAAAACTAATAGACAAATAAAACCAAGGTCCCAAACTTGGCCCTACTCTGCATGGAAGAACTGATTTCTTAATTGACAAACTACCTCTCAGAGGGTTAACTGCCTCTGGCCTGAGGTTCCTCCCAGCTTCCTGCCATTATGACTCCTTGGCCCTAGTGGAAGTTTACAGAAGGCCTCTGCGAACTACTCCCCTTGGGCCACAGTCCTGTGCTCTGAGAGATACTGGATAATTTGTCTAACCAGCTTCCTGGTTTGGGCTAAATTCATATGCTGAAGACATAACTACTGATACCTCACTATGTGACTATATTTGGAAATAGAACTTTGTACAACACAAAGGTATAATGATGACCTTCTGTTGACCCTAGCACAATGTCAAGAGGGAACCACCTGGACAGAAAGCAAGAAAGTGGCCATCAACCACCTAGGAAGAGAACCCTTACCAGAGGCCAGAGGCCAACACACTGATCTTGAACTTACAACCTCTGGAGTAAGAGGAAACAAATTTCTGCTACTTAAGTCTTTTGGACTGTAGTACTTGACTGTAGTGGGTCCTAGAAAGCCATGATTCCTCCTTCCTTAAAGTATACAGAGTGCTTACAACCAGTCCCAGATGGCCAGAGAAGCTGGCAGCTCAATGATAATTCTTGCAGGAGGACACCTGAGCTGCGGTGTTGGTGTTGAACCACACATCTGTTCCAAGTGCTCTCCTCCCTCAATAACCTCTGTGTTTCCCACCTGCTCTCTGATCTCAGCAATGTCCCTGAGGGACAGACCAGCCAACTAACAATTTGCTAAGTGAGAACTCCAAATGGGGTCCAGCTGAGCTAAAAGCGTCTCCAGGGATGGAGCCAACAGATCAGATCTCAGAATCTTAAAGCAGCAGGTGTTTCCCTGGCACAGGGGTAGAGTTGCCAGATGAAACACAAAATGTCTCTAATGTGAATTTGAGATAAGCAGTGATCACTCTATTAAAGCACATCCCATGCAATGCAGTTTTCTTTGCCCAATCGACAGGCCTATCAAGGACGTCTCAGTGGGTTATCATGGGGAAGATTGTGAAGAGATAAAGTGAATGTGACCAGGCACTGTCCTGATGGCTGCAGGCACAGAAGGGACAACAGACACCACCACCACCACCATACACTGAGCCACTTGTGAAGGAAGGAAAGGCCTGCCCTAGGAGGCCACGAGTCTCAGCTGCCATCCTTGCCTACTGCCCTCAGCTGGAGTCTGGTTAAAGAGTTTCAGACTATTCTGTTTCCTATGGCTGCCACAAAGATTCATCACGATAGTGGCTCAACACAGCGCGGATTCCCTATATTGTACTATGGAAAGTCAGACTGTTAGGAGTCAGCAGGAAATTCTAGGGGAGGGTTTCTTCTTACCTTTTCTGGTTTCTTGAGGATGCCTGCATGCTCCCACTCTTGGCCTCTCCCCCCTCCAAGGCCCACGCTGCAGTATCTTCAAAACTCCCCTCTTGACCTCTCACTGTCATTTCCTCTGTTCCTCTCATTATTTCATCCCCTCTCCATGTTTCTGTCTCACTCACTCAAGTTTTCTCTCTATCATCCATCCCTTCTCTGGCTGGCTCTTCTGACCTTAGCTTATAAGAATTCTTGTGACTACACCACCTGAATAATGACCTTAATCACATGATCTTGTGGTTATGGTGCAACAACATCTGTGGTGGCCCATTAGTATGCCTACGTGGCATGTCTCCCCTGTTACACCTGTTACTTTATCATGGCTACTGCAAGGGAAAAAAACAAAAACAGGGTTTGACTAGAGTTTCTAGTCCTAGGACTTGCAGGCAAAAAAGGTTCTAAGTTTTAGACACTGAAGATTTAAGAGGTTAAGGGAGGGGATTATAAGAAGACATATGGGTTTGCAGCTAAAATACATTGATAGCACTCAGCTGGTACACCCCTAAAAAGTCAGGACTTTGGATCCTGGGGGACATTTCTAGTGCCCTAAGACTAACTCCAACCTACTTGCAAGGCTTCACTTAGCTTTGGCAGATAGCACAAGGTACTTTCAAGACAGACATCCCAGAGTGGCCATGAGCTCTGTGTTGCCTTAGCCACAGTCTTATCTGCAGATGCCTGTGGAAGGCAGAGAGATGCTAAGCATTTGTGAATCTTTGTGACTATGTGAGATTACTGTGGCTGCCATTACGAAGGGCCACAGACTGGGCAGTTCAACATGATGAACCTTGCATCTCTGTAGTTGGAAGTCCAAGATGAAGAATCTGCTGTCTGGTTCCTTCTGAGGGCCAGGAGGCAGAACCTGCTCCAGCCTGGAGGTTTGTTGGCTGTCTTTCGTGTTCTTTGACGTGTAGAGGCATCATCCCACTGCTGCTCCCAGAGGCCTGGGGTGTTCTTCCATGTGCATGTCTCTGTATAAGGACATGGGTCACCTTAGATTAGGGCCACCCTCATGAGCCGATGACAACTGCAAAACAACATCTCTTAAACAGGGCCACAGTCTGAGGTGCTGAAGGCTTAAGGACTTCAGACTGAGTTTGGAAAAGATAAACTGAACCCCT